TATAGTGATGATAAACACCAGATGTGTATAGAATTATCGTCCCTTCCCCGTGGCTTACCCAAGACATTGTGTTGGCCAGCAGGTATTAGTAAGACTTCTTTTGATGTCGACCTCATCACGTTATCCACGGTATCCTTGGGAGAGAATGAACACCATACTGACCCGCCACTGTTTTGCTGTGGGTATAAAGGTCCTTTGTTGACATGGAGGTTGAGGTAGGAGTTCAAGATGGCTGCTCCTCGAACACGATAGAGCTAAGAGTCTCCTACGGTGAGCTTAACCCAGTGTGCTTCTTTGTGGTTGAGTGGGAATATTAGTCTAGTTGTGGCTCACAGTGTATCCCATTGAGTAATTTCGTCAGTGACCTTTGGGTCTTGTCCTCCCCGCAACACAAATGAAGGAAGAGCAGAACTATATTTCTCTGTCAGTGGCTCGGTGACATTCAATTATTTCTTGGTGAGCGAGTGAGTGAGTGAGTGAACGAGTGAGTGAGTGAGTGAGTGAGTGAGTGAGTGAGTGAGTGAGTGAGTGAGTGAGTGAACGAGTGAGTGAGTGAGTGAGTTAACAATTACAAGTACTGTGGCAGCGCACACATTAACTTTTCTCACTCAGTACAGTACTTGGTTAGCGACACATTCTTTAGCACTGACATCGGCAGATAAATTTAGTTCCATTTAGCTTAAAAAAAGAAATGATTCACCAACAAACACATAAGTGGGTGAGTTAGTGACTGAGTGGCGCATAGAGCTACTGACGCAACTAAACACGTCATTGTAAGATCGTTGAAGACCAGAGGGCGAGGAGAGGATCAAGGGCACCACCACCTGAAGTGTGTTGTTGATACCTCAGTCACCCAGAGAGAGGTTGAGGACTGTGTATACCTGCATAGTGAAGTACATGACATCGTGGACATTAATCTCAACTATCCTCTCTGATGCTGTAGGCTATGTTTATGATCAGGTTTTCCTACAACACACGACGATGAATTTATCAAGTCTAGAAATATGTCACATTCAGAAGGGTCAAGGGGACAGACCTACAAGAACCTCTCCCTGCGTCTTAACCTGAGGGAGGAAGAACCCTAATTAAAGTATTCTGCCCTGGCTCTATAACCTACCATCATTATAGAACCATAACTTAACTTCGATAGAGACATACTGTATACTCTCTTGAACACATGGGACAAAAGAGACGGTAATTTGACCTCATCATTCAGAGTAACTATCGCTGCCCTCATTTGCCGTAACTACAAGGCGAGAGTATAGCATTATCATACCCCCTGAACAGTGAATAACTAACACCGTGCTCATTACAGTAATAACATAACGAGTATTACAGTATTTTCAGGTGAACAAACTCCTTAATTATACCTGGGTGTGTATAAAGGTCCCTCAGGTGATGTAACTTATGGCCTAAATCACCCTCTGTCTGTTTCCCCTCCCTCTTAATTATGACTGCCTTCCCCTCCCCTCCCCTCTCTCACCCCACTCTTCCCCCTCCCTCATCCCCTCACCCCACCCCCTCCAACTACCCCATTGATCCTAAACATCCCTACCTTAACCCCCACCCCCTATCCATCCCTCTTTCTCCCTACCCTTCCCTTTGAAACCCTCACTCTCCTCTTGCCTGCTTCATAACCCTCACTCTCCTCTTGCCTGCTTCATTCCCCTCACTCTCCTCTTGCCTTCATAACCCCTCCTCTCCTCTTGCCTGCTTCATAACCCCTCACTCTCCTCTTGCTTCATAACCCCTCTCTCTCCTCACCCACCTTGCTTGTAACCCCTCACTCTCCTCTTGCCTGGCTTCACATAACCTCACTCTCTCTTGCCCTTAGCTTCATAACCTCACTCTCCTCTTGCTGCTTCACCAACCCCTCACTCTCCTCTTGCCTGCTTGTAACCCTCACTCTCCTCTTTATAACTTCGCAACCCCTCACTCTCCCCTCTTGCCTGCTTCCACCAACCCCTCACTCCTCTTGCCATATTCACCAACCCCTCACTCTCTCTCCCTTGCTTCATAACCCCTCACTCTCCTCTTGCCTGCTTCATAACCCCTCACTCTCCTCTTGCCTGCTTCATAACCCCTCACTCTCCTCTTGCCTGCTTCATAACCCCATTCTCCTCATCCTCCCCCCTCCCACAAGCATCCTTTCTCCTCCCTCCACAGCCCTCTTCCTCCCCACTCCCATTCTCTCCTCACCCCTCCTTAGCTCCTCTTTTTCTTAGCTCTCTCCCTCTCTCTCTCTCTCTCTCTCTCTCTCTCTCTCTCTCTCTCTCTCTCTCTCTCTCTCTCTCTCTCTTACCTTTTTTCTTAAGACTTCAAGTGAATAAAAGTCGTCCATCTTGGTTATGTAAACTTGGGATAGGACCTCAGGTGTTAGAGCTACTGTGATTTACGCCCTTGTTGCTGCCTTCTTGTGAGGTAACGGGGAGATGGTGAGGGGGAGGTAGGGAGAGAAGGGAGGGGAGATACTGTGAGGGAGAGAAGGGAGGGGGAGAAGGGAGAGAAGGGAGGGGAAGGTAGGGAGAGAAGGGAGGGAGAGGTAGGGAGAGAAGGGAGGAGAGATACTGTGAGGGAGATAAGGGAGGAGAGATGGTCAGGGGAGAAAGAAAGGTGATATAGTGAAGGGGAAACACGATGTCTTATTGATGTCCCCTAGTGAGACAGAAGGGAGATGGTGAGAGAAGAGACACGAGGGGGGAGTCGGATGAAGGAAAAGTGAGAGATAAGTGAGAGATGAGGGAACGTGGGAGGGGGGAGGGAGTGGGAGGGAGGAGGGGGTGGAAGGGGGGTATTGAGGAATTCAGGAAAGGAAAAATCATTTTTATACTGCAAGCTAGTGAATACGGGATCCCCTTCTATGCTAAATAAAACCGTAGTTAAGGAATAAAAAACAGCTCATCCAAGTACAATACGTATATAACCTCTATTAACCCATGTAAGGTAATTAACAAGGTATATTACCCTCAAACAGTAACCCCAGAACATTAACTCATCATTAACATAAACACTCAAATTATAATCTTTCTCACATCTTATCTCTCAGGCACAAGAGACACACACACACACACACACACACGATACACTATTTGAACATTATTATCACTCTGGTATATTTCTCAAGTCTTCTTTAAATGTTGAGAATTAAGGGACATTCTTTAAGTGTTCACAGTTAGTAGTTATTATCTCTCAGTGTCTCTCTCAGTGTCTCTCTCAGTTCTCTCAGTTCTCTCTCAGTGCATCTCTCAGTTCTCTCTCAGTGTCTTTCTCAGTGTATCTCTCAGTGTCTTTCTCAGTGTATCTCTCAGTATATCTGTCAGTGTATCTCTCAGTGTATCTCTCAGTTCTCTCTCAGTGCTGACAGGAGATAGTCTTACAGTCGGATGTTTTTTTATATGGTAGATAACTTGTGTGGCTTTTACCTGTTGTTCCTCTGTTACCACTCATACCTGTGTTGTTCTTCATTCTTGCTTTTACGTCTATTGTTCTCCACTGTGTCTCACCCACCAGGTTCTGTCTCTTGTTCTTTCGTTCATGACTCTCTGTTCTTTCATTGTTCTCTCTGTTCTTTCATTGTTCTCTCTGTTCTTTCATTGTTATCTCCTCTACTTCAAACGTGTCAGGAACCTTTGTCTTCCTCTGAGCTTCTCTAGTGTGTGATCTAAACACATGATGGTGGTGTTGACTTAAGAGCTCTGAGTCTTCTGAGGGATGTGGTGGTCAAGTGGATACAGAACTAACCTCCTCTCCTAAGGTGTCACTGGTTCGCATCTGGGGGGGGGGGGTACTCCTAGTCTACCCAGCTGTGATTGGATACCAGCAGCATGGGTCAGATTGCCTCCGTATACTGAAGTGTTAGTATGCAGTGTACTATATCCGCACTACCCACTTTTACGTGATCTGATAATTTATAAGACTTTTTGGCCTAGGAAATGACACTTTGTTTACTCAATCATTTCTTGAATCCTGAAATGATGGGATTTAATTTCCTTCCTATAGCCAGTTACTTTATCAGGGACGACTGTTACACCTAGACCACCACAGATCTTGAGAGAGAGAGAGAGAGGGAGGTGGTATGGTTAGTCTCGCTCTTATCCACCTCATTCTCGGAGGACTCCATAAAACTATAAACACTGTGCTGTCGTTCAGAAGTTACCTCCGCCTGTACCTACACTCAAGCATCAGTAACAATCTGCCTCACACTGATGGGTTACATATGTCTTGTATAACCTCCTCCTCCTGCTATGCTCTTACACGCACCAACACTCTTGCATTATGTATTTTTCCATCACAACCTGAGAGGAACTCTTGGCAGAATATTTCTTCCACTTTTTTTTTTCATTTTTGAGAAAGAATATTTTTCCTAGCTTGTTATTCGAGTGGTTTTTTTAAATCGTGGTGAAACAATATGGAGTTTATCCTATGGCCTTCTCTGAGAGGTTGTTGAAGTTTGGTGCCTATGAGGGAGGGGGGTATAGTGGTCTGGGGGAAGGGGGGGGGATGAAAGGTGTGTATTCCTCGACCCACATATTACATCACAATTCAGATCCCAGTTAGGTTAGGTTAGGTTAGGTTAGGTTAGGTTAAGTCTACCTCCAATCCAGTTGGTATTTTTGCCAAACATCTTACTGTACCGAGTAAATGAGTCACTTAGATGCGTTCGTAGCTCTCTGGGTACGAGGAAGGGACAGTAACTATACAATATTTTGAGGAGAATCTGTACCCTGGGTAAGCACGAATCCTCAAAGACCTGTATCTATGATGTGTTTTCCTCTATTGAAGCAAGAATTCATTTGACTGGCCTACTTACTGGGACTCAAAAAATGGTCTAGCTAATATTGCGGAGAGCGTGTGTAACGTAAACTGCGGTGTCCTTTCATCCCCTCACCCAGTTGGTCGGGAAAAATAACACACACACACACACACACACACACACACACACACACACACACACACACACACACACACACACACACACACACACACATACATATATATACGAATCTTTGAGACTCCGAAGTTCAGAAGTCTTGATGGCACAAGTTCGGTCATAGCCAGAAGTCTCTTGGCCGGGTCTAGAGTCGTCTCAGTCTGGTAAAGTTGTCGTTTCTTGGGGGACACTAGATCACCTTTAGGGCGGATTAGATGTCGTGGTCGGGGGCTGACTAAACGACCTCAGGCGCCTCATGTCGTTTCTTGAGTAAATGAAGAGGACAACGAGATGTGTCCGATGTCGCTCTCGGGTTAAATCTGATGGTGGTGGTGGTGGTGGTCCGTCGCTGATGTGGTGGGTGATGGACGACCTCGAGTGGGTTTCTTGTCGTATTTGGGTGTTTTCTTGTCGTAGTTTTGCGTGTTTTTTGTCGTAGTTTGGGTGTTTCTTGTCGTAGTTTGGGTGTTTCTTGTCGTAGTTTGGGTGCTCTTGTCGCAGTTTGGTGTTTTTGTCGTAGTTTCGTTTTTGTCGTGTTTGGGGTTTATTGTCGTAGTTTGCGTTTCTTGTCGTAGTTTGGGTGTTTTGTCGGAAGTTTGGTGTTTTTGTCGTAGTTTGGGGTTTATTGTCGTAGTTTGCGTTTCTTGTCGTAGTTTGGGTGTTTGTCGTAGTTTGCGTTTTGTCGTAGTTTGGGTGTTTCTTGGTCGTAGTTTGGGTGTTTCTTGTCGTAGTTTGCGTTTCTTGTCGTAGTTTGGGTGTTTTGTCGTAGTTTGGTGTTTTTGTCGTAGTTTGATGTTTCTGTCGTAGTTTGGGTGTTTTGTCGTAGTTTGCGTGTTTTTTGTCGTAGTTTGGGTGTTTTGTCGTAGTTTGCGTTTTTGTCGTAGTTTGGTGTTTTCTTGTCGTAGTTTGCGTTTTTGTCGTAGTTTGGTGTTTTTGTCGTAGTTTGCGTTTTTGTCGTAGTTTAAGTGTTTTTGTCGTAGTTTGGGGTTTTTTGTCGTAGTTTGGGGTTTCTTGTCGTAGTTTGCGTGTTTTTGTCGTAGTTTTGGTGTTTTTGTCGTAGTTTGGGTGTTTCTTGTCGTAGTTTGGGTGTTTCTTGTCGTAGTTTGGGGTTTCTTGTCGTAGTTTGCGTGTTTCTTGTCGTAGTTTGGGGTTTTTGTCGTAGTTTGGGTGTTTTGTCGTAGTTTGGGTTTCTTGTCGTAGTTTGCGGTTTTTGTCGTAGTTTGGGGGTTTCTTTTGTCGTAGTTTGGGTGTTTTTGTCGTAGTTTATGTTTCTTGTCGTAGTTTGGGGTTTTGTCGTAGTTTGCGTTTCTTGTCGTAGTTTGGTGTTTTGTCGTAGTTTGGGTGTTTTTGTCGTAGTTTGGTGTTTCTTGTCGTAGTTTGGGGTTTCTTGTCGTAGTTTGCGTTTCTTGTCGTAGTTTAAGTGTTTTGTCGTAGTTTGCGTGTTTTCTTGTCGTAGTTTGGGGTTTCTTGTCGTAGTTTGGGTGTTTTGTCGTAGTTTGGGTGTTTTCTTGTCGTAGTTTGCGTTTCTTTTGTCGTAGTTTAGTTTCTTGTCGTAGTTTGCGTTTTTGTCGAAGTTTGGTGTTTCTTGTCGTAGTTTGGGGTTTCTTGTCGTAGTTTGGTGTTTCTGTCGTAGTTTGGGGTTTCTTGTCGTAGTTTAAGTGTTTCTTGTCGTAGTTTGTTTCTTGTCGTAGTTTGGGTGTTTTGTCGTAGTTTGCGTGTTTCTTGTCGCAGTTTGGGTGTTTCTTTGTCGTAGTTTGGTGTTTGGTCGTAGTTTGCGTTTTGTCGTAGTTTGGGTGTTTCTTGTCGTAGTTTGCGTGTTTCTTGTCGTGTAGTTTGGGTGTTTCTTGGTCGTAGTTTGATGTTTTGTCGTAGTTTGGGTGTTTTTGCTCTAGTTTGGGTGTTTCTTGTCGTAGTTTGGGTGTTTCTTGTCGTAGTTTGGGTGTTTTTGGTCGTAGTTTGCGTGTTTTTGTCGTAGTTTGGGTGTTTTTGTCGTAGTTTCTGCGTTTCTTGTCGTAGTTTGGGTGTTTCTTGTCGTAGTTTGCGTTTCTTGGTCGTAGTTTGGGTGTTTCTTGTCGTAGTTTGGGTGTTTTTGTCGTAGTTTTGCGTGTTTCTTTGTCGTAGTTATGTTTGTAGTTTGGGTGTTTTCGTCTAGTTTGGTGTTTTGTCGTAGTTTGCGTGTTTTGTCGTAGTTTTGATTTTGTTCGTTTGGGTGTTTTTGTCGTAGTTTGGGTGTTTCTTGTCAGTTTCAATATGTTTTTGTCGTAGTTTGGGGGTTTTGTCGTAGTTTAAGTGTTTCTTGTCGTAGTTTATGTTTCTTTGTCGTAGTTTGGTGTTTTGTCGTAGTTTAAAGCTTGCTCAGTTTGGGTGTTTCTTTGTCGTAGTTTATGTTTCTTGTCGTAGTTTTGCGTTTTGTCGTAGTTTGGGTGTTTTGTCGTAGTTTGGGTGTTTCTTTTGTCGTAGTTTGGTGTTTCTTGTCGTAGTTTTATGTGTTTCTTGTCGTAGTTTGGGTGTTTTTGTCGTAGTTTGGTGTTTTTGTCGTAGTTTGGGTGTTTTTGTCGTAGTTTGCGTTTTGTCGTAGTTTGCGTGTTTTTGTCGTAGTTTGGTGTTTTGTCGTAGTTTGGTGTTTTTGTCGTAGTTTAAGTGTTTTCGTCGTAGTTTGCGTTTTCATCGTAGTTTGGGTGTTTCTTTGTCGTAGTTTAAGTCTTTTGTCGTAGTTTGCGTGTTTTTGTCGTAGTTTGGGTGTTTTTGTCGTAGTTTGATGTTTCTTGTCGGTTTGCGTTTCTTGTCGTAGCGTTTGCGTGTTTCTTGTCGTAGTTTGGGTGTTTTTGTCGTAGTTTGATGTTTCTGTCGTAGTTTGGGGGTTTCTTTGTCGTAGTTTGGGTGTTTCTGTCGTAGTTTGCGTTTTTGTCGTAGTTTGCGTTTCTTGTCGTAGTTTGATGTTTCTTGTCGTAGTTTGCGTTTCTTGTCGAAGTTTGGGTGTTTCTTGTCGTAGTTTGGGTGTTTCTTGTCGTAGTTTGGGTGTTTCTTGTCGTAGTTTAAGTTTTTGTCGTAGTTTGCGTGTTTCTTTGTCGTAGTTTATGTGTTTTTGTCGTAGTTTGGGTGTTTTTGTCGTAGTTTGGGTGTTTTTGTCGTAGTTTGGGTGTTTTGTCGTAGTTTGGGTGTTTCTTGTCGTAGTTTGGGTGTTTTTGTCGTAGTTTGGGTGTTTTTGTCGTAGTTTGCGTGTTTTCTTGTCGTAGTTTGGGTGTTTTTGTCGTAGTTTGGGTGTTTCTTGTCGTAGTTTGGGTGTTTCTTGTCGTAGTTTGGTGTTTTTGTCGTAGTTTGCGTTTCTTTTTGTCGTAGTTTGGGTGTTTCTTGTCGTAGTTTGCGTGGTTTCTGTCGTAGTTTGCGTTTCTTAATGTAGTTTCTGGTGTTTTTGTCGGTTTGGGGGTTTTTGTCGTAGTTTGGGTGTTTGGTCGGTAGTTTGGGTGTTTTTGTCGTAGTTTGGGTGTTTTGTCGTAGTTTGATGTTTTTCATCGTAGTTTGGTGTTTCGTCGTAGTTTGGGTGTTTCTTGTCGTAGTTTGCGTTTCTTGTCGTAGTTTGGGGGTTTCTTTTTGTCGTAGTTTGGGTGTTTTCTTGTCGTAGTTTATGTTTCTTGTCGTAGTTTGGGGGTTTCTTGTCGTAGTTTGATGTTTCTTGTCGTGTTTGGGTGTTTTAGTAGTTTGGGTGTTTTCTTGTCGTAGTTTGGGTGTTTCTTTGTCGTAGTTTGGGGGTTTCTTGTCGAGTTTGGGGTTTCTTGCTCAGTTTGCGTGTTTCTTGTCGTAGTTTGGGGTTTCTTTTGTCGTAGTTTGGGGTGTTTCTTGTCGTAGTTTGGGCGTTTCTTGTCGTAGTTTGGGTGTTTTTGTCGTAGTTTGGGGTTTCTTGTCGTAGTTTGCGTTTCTTGTCGCAGTTTGGGTGTTTCTTGTCGTAGTTTGGTGTTTCTTTGTCGTAGTTTGGTGTTTCTTGTCGTAGTTTAAGTTTTTGTCGTAGTTTGGGGTTTTCTTGTCGTAGTTTGGTGTTTCTTGTCGTAGTTTGTTTCTTTTGTCGTAGTTTGCGTTTCTTGTCGTAGTTTGGGTGTTTCTTGTCGTAGTTTGGGTGTTTTGTCGGAAGTTTGGGGTTTCTTTTGTCGTAGTTTGCGTGTTTTAATGTAGTTTGGGGGTTTCTGTCGTAGTTTGGGGTTTCTTTACGTAGTTTGCGTGTTTTTGTCGTAGTTTGGCGTTTTTGTCGTAGTTTGGGTGTTTCTTGTCGTAGTTTGGGTGTTTGTCGTAGTTTGGGTGTTTCTTGTCGAAGTTTGCGTTTCTTGTCGTAGTTTGGGTGTTTCTTTTGTCGTAGTTTGGGTGTTTCTTGTCGTAGTTTGGTGTTTCTTGTCGTAGTTTGCGTTTCTTGTCGAAGTTTGGGTGTTTCTTTGTCGTAGTTTGCGTTTCTTGTCGAAGCTAGTGTTTCTTGTCGTAGTTTGGACGAATCAGATGATGTCAGGAATTTAGACGATGTTGTGGACAAATTACATTACTTCCTCAAGAACCAAAACTTTTCTTTTTTAACAAACTTGACGTCTTCCTGTGTCTAAGACAAGCTGAACGACCTTTCGAGGATAAGATATGGTCGTGGGACAAACTTACTGACTTCACAAGGTTGAGACGTCATTTGTTGATAAACTAGACCACAACTCGAGGCCAAGATGTCGTTCACTGACAAACTAGATGACCTCATTAGACCAAGATAAACTAGCCAACATCTCAAGGTTAATATGTCATTACCTTTAACCTAACCTAACCTAACCTAACCTAACCTAACCTAACCTAACCTAACCAAACGCTACAACTTGGTGAGGATAGATTATTTTTAGAACATTACGACTTAAGACGAGAAAGATTTCCTCTAGGTCAGCTAAATGACTTCAAGAGACAGGTATACTGTTACAGGTGAGTTCAGACGTTCTCCTGAAGCCAAGATATCGTTCTAAGATCAGCAAGACGACTTCAGGAGGTTAATAGAGTCGTTCCTGGATAATAAACACGACCTTTTATGAATTGGTCTCTCTCTCTCTCTCTCTCTCTCTCTCTCTCAGAATACTAGCTGAAGAGATACGTGAGAGAAAAGAATGTGGAGTGTAAGAGACAAAGCGAGAGGGAGGTGGAGATAATGTTGATGATAAGGGAATGGTGGAAACTAATGATGAAGAAGAGAGAGAGAAAGAGAGATAAGAGGAAACAAAAGAGATATGATGAGAGCACTGAGGGAGGGAGATGGAGCTGGAGATATGGAGGAGAGAAATGAGATGTGATGATGATGATGATAATGATAATGATGTTTGTGATGACTGTAATGATGATGATGATGATGATGATGATGATGATGATGATGATAATGAATATGATGTTTGTGATGACTGTAATGATGATAATAAACATGGTTATGATAATGATGATACTTATAATGATGATAATGGTTAAGATGGTTATGATGATGACGAACAACAACAACAACAAACAAAAACAACAACAAAAGAAGAACTAAATAAAGGTATATGTGAAATAATAACCGGAAGAATTTAAACAGGTCACCAGAACACACTACACATTAAACTAACAACCATGAGAAGCAATGACACCCAGACACGTTAAGTGGTAGAGGAGGAGAATGTGTTAACTACCCCCTTGTAAACCCACACCACTTAGTACCCACTTAAGATACCATTAAAGGCTGTAACTATATCGCTGTAACTCGCTGAACACACACACACACACCTGTTGTAGGTGTAGGAACAAATGCTACACCTGTAAAATAACACCTGTAAAATAAGATACTCATTACCCCACACCATCACCTCAATCATATCTTCACTACTGTAATGTCACTGTACCCAATTTTCACTCCGATCTGATAACATCTGGCTACTATCAGATCCTTATCTCCTGTATCGTCTATTTACATCATACTGTAATTACATCTTAATTACATAATGATACTAATTTTGACCTGGGCTCTAATGACTTGTCTCCATCACCTTAACTCCCTCCTCTGTGTGTGTACTGTAATGAACGAGGTGATTATTGTTAAGTGTACGGGTTACATTATCATGTGACTCGTGCTCTGAGACCCAATGGTGTACGTACTGTGTCCTGTAATTAAATGGTGTTATTATTGTTTTGGTAGTAGTAGTAGTAGTAGCAGTAGTGGTAGTAGTAGTAGTATGTGTAGTAGTAGCGCCAATACCTAACTCACACAAACAGTAAATCTCCTTCTTCCCACTCCACCTTCCCCCACTCCATCTCTCCCCCACTCACCTATTTTCAAATCCTCTCTTTTCCCCCTCTCTTACATATTACTTCCTGTGTCCACTCCCACTCTCGTCTCCCTCTCTCCACACCTCCCCAGCCTCACTTCCCCTCTTTCACATTTTCTCCCTCCATTCTCACCTCTCCTCCCTCCCTCCTCCCCTCCTAGCCATCTCTCTCACATTCGCTCACTCCTTCCTCTCCTCTCACCTCACCGCCACATGTCTTTGAGGAGGCACTAAAACCTCTCACTTTTTCTTTCTCTTACTGAGGGTTGTATTTATGTTGTCTCTCTCTACCCTCTCTCTCCTCTCTCTCCGGGGTATTAGTTCTTTCCTCCTCCTCCCTTCCCCTCCTCTCTTCCCTCTCCTTATCTACCTACTCCCCTTCTCAACTATATCCTTCCTCCCGCTATCCCTTTTTCCCTCTCCCCTACCCTCTTCTCTCCCCTCTTCAAGCTCCGCTCGTTCCTCCTTTCCCCCCCCCCCCCCTCTATCCCTCAAACCCCCTGATCCCTGTCCAAGATAACGTCATCAGGGCCACAGAGAGACCCATAAAGGGACCGTAGATGGGAGGGGAAATGTGGGTTAAGGGGGTCAAGATGAGGGGACGAAACGCCTAAGGGGAAATTCTCGGGTCTTAACATGAATAATGACTGGTTGACTTAAGGTAAAAATACAGAAAACCTCTTAACTAGTGACGGGGGTTAGGTTAGGTTAGGTTAGGCTCATGGCATCTTGTTTCTAATGCAAGTTTTATACACCTTATGAAAATGTGTACCTGACACCAATCCGTCTCTTTACAGATCACTCCTGCATCGCCACACAACACACAACTAAGGTAAGCTCCTCCAATGACTACTACAGCATGTACCCCAAAGAGAGAGCAATTGCTGTTGATATAAACCCTTAAGACAGGTTTTGTGCAGTGTGGCAGGACTGTGTTTGCTTACATTCGACAGAAGGAAACTAGGAATCGTAAACATAATATGGAATTAAAGTAAAACAATATTAAAACACATATCTCAATGTAATGATTTATGGAATGTTTATATGATAAGCCCCTGTAAACGCACTAGTGAAGGGGACTGTACCTAGGCTATATGACGAGTCCCTGTAAACGCACTAGTGAAGGGGACTATACCTTAAACCCTGCCAAGAGAGATAAGCACACCTATGAGAGATAACAATTAACATCTCAAATAGTATGGTACAGACTATTACGGTGAGCAACAGACACCCTCCATCAATTAAACTTCCCTGCTTGTATTGTGGTTCAGCTGCCAAACTAACAACTAAAGTTAGAGGCGAGTCTATTGATTTCGGCTAACCAGTTCTGTTTATAATGTAAACTGTGGAACTTTGCAACGTTGGTGATCAAATAACGAAAAATGGTAACACTGATGAGAAGTTAATGCAAATACGCTGCATTAGTAAACAGATAACGTAAGTTGGGTGAACATAACAAAACAGATTAGTAACAGTAATGAACGGATATCGAAAGTTTACAACATTAGATGGTTGATATCATAAATTAACTACAAATGTAAGAAAAAAGACAAGGTAAGCTGATAAGCCTCTTACCTGTACCTGTCTGACACACACACCTGGACACACCTGATCCTCCTCAAACACACCCTGATCCACACACACACCCTGATCCACACACACACACCCTGATCCACACATACACACCCTGATCCACACACACACACCCTGATCCCCACACACACACACACACACACCCCGTGATAATATAACATACACTGACAGACACATGCCATAAATTTATAACTTCAGCAATATTATAAACTCGACCAAAATACATATAACACAGTAAACAAACAACATAAATTGGTAACACTGATAAAAAAAATACGATATATATGATACACTGATATAACTGGCGCTGTAAATATGTCACTAACGAACGACTATGGCAAATTGCGCGCGGTAAAAGTCTCTAAACGGTAAAAGTCTCTAAACGACCAAACCACAATTGTCCAGATAACACAGTAAATGTTCCACCATGTTCAAATTACCATAACTCTTGAACTAATGATGATGATGATGATGATAACGCTGTCATTATTATTATTATTATTGTTTCCACTCCATTTTGAAACTCTTGAATATGATGATATAGTGAAAATTTAGGGTTAGGTATTTGAGGAGGAAGTGTTAAAATAAAGACACAAATGGCGATTATAATGTAATGTT